TCGACGATAGGGATGTTTAAGGCACAAATATTAAGGACCGTTGATTTGCGCAAACTTCAAGAACAGTGTTATAGTATTTTTATTTTTGTGTCCCTCTTTTTGAAAAATTACTTAATAATATTCATATTGTATTACAAATTATCCGAGCGTATACATTGAGAGTTCTTCAAAAATGAAAATGCTAAAGGCAATATGTCAAATTAAAATTTGCAGAATATTTTATTTTACAAATAGAGTACGCTTTGTTGGACACAATTAAGATCACGTTTGATAACACAATTTTCAACTTATCAGTCTTATCAATCAACTTTTTCATAAACATGTAATTTTTTATTTTTCATGTTGAATTGCGTAAGAATCAAACTAAGCAAAGTTGGACTTATTTTTCTAGCTAATTTGGTTGAAGTTATTACAAAATACTCCGTATAATTTGAGTGCAATTCTAGAAACAATATAAGAGACCCGTTTCATAAGGGATTGAGTTTTTGGACATGTTAAGATGTTTTTACTTTGCTTAGACCAGATAAGACTAAAAAAATCAAACAGACCAGATCAGACTTAAACAGATCAAGCGAGACCAGAATCTAATTAAAAACATTTGTATTACTTTTATTGGTGTTGTGTTTAAATGAAAAAGTATGAAAGAGAATGAGAGTATATGTATATTTTATTGAAAATATTTCAAAAAATTGAAAGAGAGACAATCATTATAGAACAACTCAAAATGGAAAGGAGAACATGCATTGGAGAACGGAGACAGTATTTAAGAAAAGACATACGAAGTATTTTAAATTCCAAATTTGAGTCAAGTTTAACTTCTACCATTCAATGTATTGTAACAAAATATCCAATACTCCGTAAATAATACAAAGTATATATACAGTAAAATAATTATTTTAAAGTGTTAAATTATTTTTTATTTTTATATATTCAATATTTATGTCATATGAAAGATAATAAAAAGTTATAAATTTTGGTATACTTTTTGTAATAATCAGAATACAACTTAAAAAGTTATAGCAGTTTAAAAAAATATGGGATTTTATTTTTTGAGTTGCACAACTCTAGGAAGCTTTAGGATTCCAACCGTATAGATTAGTCCAAATTAACGTTAAACACTTCTAATCTAACTTGAATACCCATGTAACGCACGGTAGTATAATTAATATATTACTCCCTAAATTGAAAAGAGAATCTAAAATATTATAACGAAGGTTTGATGAGAATATGACACATGTCAAAACTTTCCCTAATTGTATCTTTGAATTGTATTATCTATAGATAGATACATGACACACAAAGACTCAAAGAGTGCTGACCATATATTCAGGGGTCCTATATTCAATTGGGCCACTACTTCTCAACCCATCCAATTGTTCATAAAAGCCTGAAAATGTTAACCCAAGTCCTAAGTCTATAGCCACCATATACTACGTATGTAATCCAAAAATTGGGCCGCATAGAGCAGCAACTTGAATGAATGCCCCTGCCCTAGAAGATTCGATCTTTGCCCTTTCTCTACACTCCTCTATAACGTTCTCCCCCGCAACTCTTCCACAAACTCTTGCAGATAATGCGGCTGGGAGTTGGTCCGCTGATGTTCGTAGACAACAACAAAATACCTTCCAGTCGTCTGAACAATACACAAAGAGATTAGTACCAACTACGAACGCGGACATTCACATGACAATGGTAAGTAAATCAAGACTCTGCTATAGATCTGTGGTTACATGTAATTTCTTGAATCCGACTTTCATAATCAATCTCTTAAGGACCGGTAGATCTAACCGAAATGAAAATATTCGTTTTTTGTTAAATTTTTGAAGTTTGAAATTAATCTTTAAATAAGCAACCGGTTTAAATATATTGTGATTTAATAAAATGTTTTTCTGCCATGAATGAAAACGGTATATAAGAAAAAGTAAATTTGAATAATGAAAATTAAAAAAAAAAAAGACTTGAAGATTATACTCCGTATAAACACGAACTATATGAGAGTGAAGTTTGTGATAGTATATTAGTGTGCAGTTGTGTAATATAATTTTTACCTGGTTTTAAAAGAATCGAAATATCTAAAAAATTATATTAGGTGTTGAGTTTAAATACTTCATATTAAATGTCATTTCATATTTAGATACATTTTTATGTGTTATGCATACAAAGCCCAAAGGGAGGACATCACCCCCTCCCTTTCATGCTTGCCATTTGGAAATAAGAAGAAATATCTTTGTGAGTGTCTAGGTGAATACGTAGGGCTCAGCTTGTCCATAAACAGAAGTTTTTTTTTGTTAAAAAATAAACCGAACTCAATATCATCCTACATTGATAGTCCATAAACACATGTTTATTAAGTTCTGATATTTTAACATTCCCTCATAATATTTTGATTAATTATAATTTTTTTTAACTTTTCAAAGTCGTATAAAATAGCCAAAGAAACTACAATTGTTGATATTTTGGTATCATATACGTAGTATAATACATTGTGTACGAAGATGTTAGGCTGAAAAAGAAACTCATTAATAATACATTGGAAAACTATTTTTATTATTTAGATAGTAGAGCCCATTCATCAGCCACCAAAAACTAAACATTGGGCAAATGAATATACGAAGCAAACATACACATATTTGTAAAATTAGATGGATTAATTTTCAAATCTAGGCAGCCATCCTAGATTGAAGTGGAACTGATGAGTGTGACTTTAGGATTTCTGCAATTTAACACACCCTGAATAGTAATGAATTGCTCGTGAAGTTGTGAGTAGATCTTTGATATTTCTGCAAAATTTATATCAATTAGGGTCAAAACAAATAATATACACTCTTCATATATCATTATATATTTATATATGAAAGATTCAAACATGAATATATGCTATAAACAATTATTCCGTATAACAGTAATGGAACTTATCGCCATAAGAACCAAGAAAAAATTAACATAATACTCCGTAGAACTTATAACAGTAGAACCTCTCAATCAAGTGTGAGTGAATTGGCTGCCACATACCTCTATTTATAGTGAGATTTATAGGTGACTGACTAATCAAAATTCAATCTCAATTTCAGGAAAGGAAGATGTATGGCGTGCAACTTGTAAGCATGGGCGGAGTGAGAATGTAATGCCGCACACGCATAAATTTATTGAGAAAACTGTAGCTAATGAGATTCATCGAACCTGAATTACTATGCTCATCTCCATGGTTTCGTAAACTACACTCAACATTTAAGATATTAATTTTATACTCCCTCCGGTCCCTATTAAAGTTCTCACTTTCCTTTTTGGGATGTCCCTTATTTAAGTTCACACTTCCATTTTAGGAAACAAAACAGTGCAAAACAGTGTCCAAACAGTGCCAAACAGTGCACTCCACAGTAAAGTCAAATTTATTTTCTTAATCTGTGTGAAGTCAAACTGGGAACTTTAATAGGGACCGGAGGGAGTATGTATAGAACATGCTTACTTGACAGTGACGCACCATCCAGCCCATCCTTATCACACTGTACCACCGTTTCAACCTCCAATAGGAATTGAAAGAATGCAATAGTGGCGTAGGAAATGAAACAATGTAGTAGTGGCGTGCGAATTCTCATCCATAACACTATTCACAAATCAAAACTTATGCATAACATACATGATACATCTGCTTTTCACCATTTTATATTTCTTTGCAATTTAGCATGTTCACTCACTCGGTGGTGATGTTTTTGAGCGGGAGTTTCTACCAAAAAAATCTTTTGCTTTTAGATAGTAATAGATATACTACGTATCATTTATGATTATTTAAATCATTTTACAATTTTTTGGTCACTTATTGTCACATAAATTGCATGGAGGAATTTTTAGAACACTTATCTTTTAAATGGGCTGGACTGGACATGACGTGTGGTCAAAAGAAATTGGGCCTCTTGTAGAAATTGCACCTTGAGTCATTGACCAATTTTGACCTAGCTTCTGCCGCCTTTCACGTCTAGCAAGTGGACAAGCTGCCTGCTACCAAGAGAAAACGTCGGAAGGTCCCATGACAAGACGTCCTTGACACCGCCTCATCTCGCCACCGGAGGAGGCTCGGCTGGAGACGTCCGTGCTAGGAGCTCGAAAACAACTATCAAGGCTCTCAACCGCCATTAATGGCAGGTTTTCAACCTTTCAAGAGGGAGATGCGAAATCTGTGAAATCAGTGTTCGATAAGTAAGACCTGACCTGCTGCCTCAAGTTGTATTCCGTCGTCGGTCTGCAGTGAGCCATTGGTCGCGACCTCCGGCTGATTCGCGCGGTTGGCGTCGCTCTAATGGAGGAGCAGAAGTTAGCAACCCTACATTCGCTTTGAGCAGCGACGGTATCTATGGAGTGCACCAAATGGGTACCAAACTTCCAGTGAGCCTGAGCTGGGGGTGAAGGGCGGCGGCATGGACGACATCGGGGCATGGACGGCCAGAACAGATCTGGTTCAACGATACCGAAGGGACGTCATGAAATTTCATTTCCTTCATGAAGGAGGAACCCACATCATGCCACCGCTTTCACCTCTCACATAATCTCCATTACACCGGCCAACCCCAAAGCTCATGCTTAAACATAAAAAAAGAGATAGGAACAAAATGGATTTTAGGTGTGAAGAACAAAATGAAAGGAAGAATCCCTTCCATGGACATTGACAGTTTGCAATTATTTGTCTGTGCCACTTATCTCCATGGAACAAGTAAGTTTATCTTATTTAACTTTTTTTATTTGTTTTATCTTACAAAAATAAATAGATTTTTTAATTTAACTTGGTTCAGAGGATAAAGTCTCACTTTTTATTCCTCCTCGTGATGTTGAAGAAAAAGAAACTCCTCTTCTTGTGCTTGGAAATAGAGATGTCACAGAACGGATATTGAATTTTGTCATAGCTGACATTGAAAACCTCAATGTGTTACTCGTGGAAAATTCTTTTATCTCTACACAGTATGCAGAATTGAAGGAACAATTGATTCCTTACCTGCAACACTAGATCTGTTCTATTAAGGTACCCGACGTATTATAGCATTAGTTTAAATTTTTTACTTTTAATAAATTTATGACAAGTGCCCCAGTGAAAAATATTAATGCCTCCATTAGATATTCTACAATTCTTTTGAATTGCAAAATTGGTGAAAAGGCAAGCACGTGATTTTCCCATGACCTTTGAGATTTTATTTGTTGATTTATTTAGAAATATTTGTAAACCTAAATTATGTAGAATAAGTTTTAGAAAAGCTGTTACTCCCTCCGTATCAAAGTAATTGACCCGTTTTCCTTTTTGGGACGTATCAAAATAAAAGTCTCGTTTCTCTTTTTGGAAATAAACCCACCCAAAAAGCAGCTACAGTACCGCTACAGTCCCAAAACCTCCTACTTTATATATATTTGCCTTAAAATACGTGAAAAAGCATATGGGTCAATTAATTTGATATGGAGGGAGTATGTTAGATTTCAAGTAAATGGGCTAGAAAAGTTTTAGTTCGAATACTCCGTATTTACTTCATTTTTAGCTAATAATTAATTTTCATACTTTCATTATAAAATCTCAAATGTCATGGGCAGATCACATACTTGTCTTTTCACGCATTTCAAAAGAATTGTAGAATATCTAAGGAAAAATTGACAAGAATAATCTCACCTTTCACTGGTCTTCTCATAATAATTCCACCTTTAAATAATCCCACCTTTGCACCTCATCTTCTTTCATTGGATTCTGACCAAGTTTTTTACCTTTTTCAAAAATCTTATATAAATAATCTCACATTGACAAGGATATAATTAAAAAGTGAAAGGTGAGATTCTTTGTATAATTTTCAAAGAAAGAGTAAAAAACATGGTCAGGGTCCAATGAGAGAAGATGAGGTGCAAAGGTAGGATTATTTTGGGATTATTTAAAGGTGGGATTATTATGAGAATACCAGTGAAAGGTGAGATTATTCTTAGCAATTTTTCCAATATCTAATGGGGGCATTAATATTTTTCATTGGGGATTTGTCATAAATTTATTAAAAGTAAAAAAATGAAACTAATGCTATCATACGCTAGGTACCTTAATAGAGCGGATCCAGTGTTGCAGGTAAGGAATCAACTGTTCCTTCAATTCTGCATACTGTGTAGAGATAAAAGAATTTTCCCTGAGTAACATATTGAGATTTTCAATGTCAGCTATGGCAAAGTTCAATATTTGTTCTGTGACAATTCTATTTCCAAGCACAAGAAGAGGAGTTTCTTTTTCTTCAACATCAAGAGGAGGAATGAAAAGTAAGACTTTATTCTCTGAACCAAGTTAAATTAAAAAATCTAATTATTTTTGTAAGATAAAACAAATAAAAAAAAGCTAAATAAGATAAACTTACTTGTCCCATGGAGATAAGCGGAACAGACAAATAATTGCAAGCTGTCTGTGTCCATGGAAGGGATTCTTCCTTTGATTTTGTTCTTCACACCTAAAATCCAAGGTTGTATAGGTTGTTGTTCTTCACTGCTATCTCTTTTTTTATGTTTAAGCATGTGCTTTAGGGTTGGCCGGTGCAATTGAGATTGTGGGAGAGGTGGAGGCGGTAGGCCCGGTGATGTTGGTTCCTCCTCCATGAAGGAAATGAACTTCTGAGCAGACGAAGGAAATGAGAAGGTAAGGTGTGAGGACCGAGGAGGGGGTTCCCAGAATCGGGTGTTTTCTAAAAATGAGGGATTCAGAGGAATGATGGGCGTAGGGGCAAGGTTAGTGTAAAATCCCATTTTTTCTATGAAGTGATTGCAACATTTTTATTTGTACTCAAAAATTTATGAAACATATACCCAAATTCATAACTTTTTATAATCTTCTTAATGATATCAATATTCCATATATAAAGTTTAATTATTTTTTGACGTTTTAAAAGTAGAAATTTTTCGGATCCAAAAGTTTTCTTAAATTGATTCAAATGCAAAAATTAAGATTTCATTGTTACAATAAAAAAATTTAGATGTTCGAATTATTTTTAAATCGGGGTTTTAATTTTAGTATTTGTATCTACTAAGAAAAATTTTAAATCTAAAAATCTCCTAGTGTTGAAAGTTGAAACTTCAATTTTGGAAGTGTTGAAACATCAATTTAAAAAAAAAAACACTTTATATACACAATAATGGTGACATGAAAGATCGAAAAAAATTATGAATTCTGATATAATTACTGTAAAAATTGAAATACAAATAAAAAAGTTACATCACTTTTAACAATGAATTTTAATTTTAGCATTTCAGTCTTTATAAAAAGCTAATATAAAAAGCTTTTGCAGTTCAAACTTCAAATTTAATTTTCAAATTTTACATATACAATATTGATGTCTTATTAAAAATCATAAAAAGTTATGAATTTTGATATATTTTTTGTAAGAACTAGAGTACAATGATTTGAATTCTCATAATTATCAATTCTTAAAAGCAACAGCCTTCATCCAATTTAGTAGTTTTCTGATGCAAATTTCAGATATATAGGCATGTTCATCCTTTAGGGCCAATCTCCCAATTTCTTCTTCTGTTCTGCAATTCCATGAAGAAGAGCCACCCTCAAGATTACTCATGATCATTGATTGAACTTTGAAGGAAACTAATTGTGTTTGGTGCAGGTAAATTACAAGACCCTTATTCACATGTGATTTTTTTATCTATTAGTCCCCTAATTCAACTATATTATTTGATATTAGCAAACTGGAGAACCTCTGTAGACCCAAGTATTAATTCCCCGTAGATAGTACTATAAAGAGTCTCCCCTGACATGTCCAGTTATTGCTTATGTTTGTGGTACCCGTGGTCAGGCGCCTTCCGCCCTTCCCATTATAAACTCTATAGGTATGCATAGGAACTGGGTAAAAATTAGTGAATGAAGCCGAATTTTGCGAAATTCTAATTGATTGAAATAAGTGACCTAAAACATATTTAGATCTGTTTGAAAATAAACAAAAGTAATGAAAGTAATTTCTAGGCCAGTTTCAGTTTTGAACCAATGGAAGGCCAGTTGTTGTCATGCCATCTCTCCCTTAGACCAAAGTGTATTAACAGATATGGAGACTGAAAATCAAAGCTTGATTTAACTAATTGAAGGCCAGTTTCGGTTTTGAACTGATGGAAGGCCAGTTGTTGCATGCCATCCCTCCCTTATACCAAAGTGTATTAAGAAACATATATGGAGACTGAAAATCATAGCTTCATTTAACATAGAGATGAGAAGCAAAGGCTAATGTTGCAATTAAGAAGATTCCTCCTCATAGAAATCTTCTGCTTTCTTCCTGCTGCATGTAGTCATGTACATCAGTTTCATGGAGTAGGGTGCTTCTACCAAAGTACTTTTTCCCTCTTAGTATTTTTCCAATTAGTTTTTCCTTCTCAGTAGTCACTATTTATGTTGAGTACTTTTCAGCTTAAAAACACGTATGAGAACATAGAACTGCCTCATGTGCCAAATTAAATGGCTACTTTTCAGTTTGAATAGAACTAATGGAATTAAGCCTCCCACCAATCTAAAAAAGTAATGCTTACCAGTACACCTGTCTAAAGATATTTCTTTTGCTTACAATTTTGTTTTGGACTTTGATAAATACTCCAGGCTGTTGATACCTAGAATTTAACAATGGTGCATTATTTGAGTCAGAGTTCTGAATCATATCAACTCCATGTAAGTACAATTCTTCCAAAGCTTGAGATTTATTCTGATTTAACTTGGAAAAATCCGAGGTCATGAATATTACTTCTATAATATACTTCAGGCTTTAAAGATTCTCCGGCAGAACTATGTAGAACTTAATCATATAAATTAATTATCTGAGGTTGTGTAGATTCATATGCTCTTAGGCTTAAAAAAGTATATGATGTAGTCATTAAAGTTGGAAACTCCTATGCGGCAATCTATATCCTTATGTCGCTGGTAGGGCCTCAAGGAGAACGGTCAGGTGGCTGCAGGATTGAAACAACACTGCCACAACATCAGTTACCTTCACACCCTCAGCTCTATACTGGCTTCATCGAGTTTTCTTTATATCTCAAAGCCGCCCATTTCGGTTGGAAGGTAATGATCTGAATTCAGTCCAGGGGCAGTCCAATTATGACAGATTCTTTAATTCTTTAATTTTAAAGACGATTAATAAAAATAAAAAAATCGAATTTCAATTTTAAAGATGAATAATAATTATAACAGTTTCTCAAATCTTGGCATATTATTATAATTTAAACTGAAAAAAGAGCCTTAATTCTCCATCTCTCTTATAGTAGTTATTCCGTATTTAATTTCTCTTTTAGCAATTAAAACTAAAAAAGAGTCCAAGTCTACATATCTCTTTTGGAGTCCTGAGCCCCCATCTTTCTTTTAGTAATCATCTCTTTTATCATTTTTAAATTCTGTTGTTCAGGTTCTTGTGATTTGTGTTGGATTTATGTTGCATTTTAGTGAATTTGATGTTCTTGAGATTGAACCTTAAAAGTAACCTTATGTTTGTATAAGTTTGCATCTTGTATCTATTCTTTTCTTTTAGAGTGATTGCCATACCGAGAGTGTGTGTATGTCTATATATATGGGATTAACCAAGCTTGAGCTTTCCAAAAATGAACTTTCATGTTTGACAAATGATACTCCGTATTAACCAGACTCCTCCTCATACTGTCAAAAACTAAAATGTATTATTGATAAAATACAATGTACATAGCGTGCCAAATTATATTGGGAAAAGGGTCAGATAGGTCCTCGAACTTACATAAAAAGGTCAAATAAGCCCTTATATAGGAGGCTCTGTCCGGCCGTCGTCATTTGGGGCGGTTTCCGGTGGAATATTTTGATGAAATTTTTTGAGCATCTTATTCATTAAGTCTAGTTTACTCATAACAAATTTCAGCTAAAACTTCAATCGGGAAGACATTCAAATGAATTCTTGAAGATAACTGTGCAGTTAAAAGCGCAGTTATCTTCAAGAATTCATTTGAATGCCTTCCCGATTGAATTGTTAGCTGAAATTTGGTATGAGTAAACTAGACTTAATGAATAAGATGCTCAAAAAATTTCATCAAAAGATTCCTCCGGGAACTGCCCTAAATGACGACGGCCGGACAGAGCCTCCTATATAAGGGCTTATTTGATCTTTTTATGTAAGTATGATGACCCTTTTCCCAATTATATTTTTTTCATTTGGTTCATTTTTTTAATGTATTCAACTAGATCTTTTACTAAGCAATTTGGAGTTAGATTTCATCAATTAATATCAATTGTCATTTAGCATAAATAAAAATTTGGAAGGAGATATAGACTAACTGTAAATGGTATACTACTGTTTTTTCCTTTTCATGCTTTGAGCAGTGTATTAAGAATGAAAATGCTGAAGTATTTACTTCAATATATGCAATAGCACATTTTATTAACTATCAATGGTGGTGTTTTGGAGTTTATCGATCTGACCAACATGTTTGTTTTTTTTCGCACTGTTTTTTTACAGGCATTAGAAAAAAGAAAATAATATTGTGTAGTTATGACTTATGAGTTTATGAGGCCATTGCCTCATGTTTAACTATGATCACTTAGCATTTTGACATTTTATTTCATATGAACGTTACTGCTTTTCCTTGATGGCTTGATGGCAGGGGGTGTTTTACCTTATGATTTTGGTTTCACTTATTTGTTTTACCCGCTTCTTGCCTAGATATATGGATCAGTTTTTTGATGCTTTATTTTAGCACTTACACAACCTTAATTGTATGCTTTTCTAAACGTTTTAAAATCTCTTTCCCATGTGGCAGAAATTGGGAAGGGAGCTTCTTCATCTGCCAATTCAAAACAAAAAATTTCATTAATAGGTATAACTCCTATATTATTTAACTTTTTCCCTTCATTTTGATGTTTCTGTGTACTAAATGCCATATTCTATAACATACTGTCGTAGTACTTTATTGATTTATTTGGATTAACAAATGAAGTCTTTGATTTACACATACAAAATGCAGAACTTGACTTCTCAGTAAGTTTAGTATAAATTCACATTTGTAATGGAGGGGTGTTTTATGTTAACTAATTCTTCCTTCTCACATTGTGGTTTGCAGGGCAGCAAATCATTTTGGCATGTTTGGTCAATGTGAAAGATTGACACTCCGTTTAGCCACAAATTTCAGTGAGCAGGCTAACATGCCACAGATCTACTTTGTTTCTTCAACTAACAGCTAATCTGATGTATGCAACGGTCATTGGTTAAAATACAACATTTTTTATGTGGAGTTGTATAAAAATCTGCTCTCAATCTACTCCATCAAAGACGTAGAAGATATTTAAGAGCAGTTAAAATAGTGGCATCCTCTTACTCAAGTCCAAGGCGGCATATGGGGTTCTTCTTTATGAGACCAAGATCCGTCCAAACAGTTCTCTAATATTGTCAATCCCGTAAAGTATCATAGTTGGCCTCTCAAGGGAAAGGCCCCACAGATCTACTTTGTACTTCACACCATTTATAAAAACTCAACCATTTTCAACTTATTTAAGGTCTTTTTGCAACAGCTTTTACTTTTAAAAAAGGACTTTTTTTAATGAAATGGGGAGAAGTGATTAAATAAAAGTTGGTAGTGTTTGAGAAAAAAGTGATTTTGAAAAGTAAAAGTTGATAGTGTTTGGTAAAATAAGTGTTTTTTGTGTAATAGAAAAAGTAAAAGCACTTTTGACATGAAAGTCGAGAAAAATAAAAGTTGTAGTGTTTGGTAAAAGAAGTGCTGTTTTAAAGCCAAAAGTTGAGAGGTGCTTTTTTTTTAAAGTGGTTGTAAACCAACCCTTAGTTGATTTGATTTTTCAAGTTTACTTAGTTGAAAATTTTCAAGTTCTATATAGTTGTAAACCAACCCTTAGTGGAAAATGGTTTGGGTTCCCACTCAAAAGACAAGCACAATGTCATAAAGTAAATTTGAACCCGTCCAGTAACTGTAGTGTTTATAGGTAGTCGAATAAAGTAAATGGCTATAATATTAATGGAGAGAGACAATTTAGTATGTTTTGGACCAATTTTCGCTGATTTTGTTATGCTTTGGAGGAGCAACTCTCTTTTTCAGAAATAGGATTGTCAATTCACCCACTTTGATACAAAACTTGGTCCATTTGTCACTTTTTTATTGAGAATGAGAAAGACAAAATTAAAGCAAAGCGTGAATAAGTTTCAGTTCATCTCTCTTTATACTTAATTTTGTGTAATGGAGCAACTCTTTCTTTTGGATTCATCAAAGTGTTTCATTTCAGTCGACCTTACCAATCGTCTTAGGTGTCACTATTTATATAACTAAAACAGAAACTTGAAACATAGAAACAGATATGGAATTTATGATAAAAAAAAATACTTCTTATAAGATACAAGTACGGCGTGTATTTAAACATAACAAAATACTTCCTACGTTCCTATTTTAAATTCCCACACTTGCACTCACATTAAGGAAATAAATGTTTTCATTTGATTTCTCGGAGTGCACTTTTTGACACTGTTTTTGACACTTGACATTGTTTTGCATCATGGTGTCATTATTATTTAAATGTAGTAGAATAAATTGGTACAAATGTTTTACCAAACAAGGAAAGATGACTTTATTAAAGGACATCTAAAAAAGGCAAGTAACTCTTACATATAGAATTTATTCGTTGTATATATGGTTCATTATATGGATTACTTTTTTAAGGTTTTTTTGTTATACAATCCTAATACATAGAAATCTCAATAAAACTGCTAATTAAAATGGAACTAAAACTGCTAATTAAAAGGAAATCACAAAATCAATTTTAATTTTAATATAAAGGGAACCAATCAAATTGCTTATTAAAAGGACCATACTATCCCAATAAATCTGAATAAGGAAGAACTATTCTGAATTAGTGACGATCTTAAAGGATAAAATTGTTTTGAAATTCAAAAATGTTTTTGCTCCTATTTACCATCATACTAGTGTAACACCCGGGACAATGCCCGGGATAGCAACACTTTGATATGAACTAAAGGTAATACGAGATATTAATAAGGTTGTCATTTGTCAATTATTTATAGATGTTGTTAATAATGTTATCTATGTTGATTAATATAATATGTTTATTACTCCCCTTGTCCCTAATTCTTTCATAGTAAAAATAGCACGGGGATTAAGAGAGCGAGTATTGTGTGATGAAGAGTTGCGTAGAGGAAAGAGAAATGAGTAAGAATATGTAAAATTTATTGTAAACCACAAATTCTTTACCAAAAAGGGAAAGTGAAAATTTATGTTGGGATGCCCAAAACGAAAAATTGGAAGATTTTCAGGGATGAAGGGACAGAGTAATATTTTGTTGAGAAATGAGAAATGATTTTAAAGAATTGATGTGTATGATCTATTATTAATTTGGTCTTGAACTTAGTTCTATTTTTATTTTCTATTTATGAGAACATTAGTTGAAAAAGGTTCATAGAATGCAAAGTAATTATAATAATAGAGGGCAGTGAAAATGTTAATGTGTTAAGTACCATCCATGTGTTTAAAAACAATTACACTTTTTTAAATATTTCTTTGTTCGGAAATTATGTGTTTCTTCTATCATTGCCTTTGACACTACAAAAAGTTTACAGGATTGACACGGATTTAGCACGAATTTACAAAATATTTTGTGCCTAATAGCTCGTGTCAAACTATTTTTAGCATGAATATGGCATATCCCTATCAAATTTGAAAAATCCATGTCAGTCTCATGTTCTTTTTTTGCAGTGTGAAGAGAATTAAAAGAAATCATGTGGTTGTTGTAACGAAGGTAATTGAATCCATATTCTTGTTGACAGAAAATATTGACACAGCTAATGAGGATTGTACTACAAGTGTCCGTACTAGTGTAGGCAGAACTGCGGAGTTCCTTATTACTATCGGAGTGCACCAAGGGTAGGTTCTGAGCCCTTTTTTATTTGCCATAGTCATGGATGAACTTACAAAGTCAATTCAAGACGATATACCGTGGTGCATGATGTTTGCCGACGATATTGTATTGATTGATGAGACGCAATCAGGGGTTTAATCAAAGTTGGAAGTATGGCGACAAACATTGGAGAACAAGGGTTTCAGACTAAGTAGGAGCAAGACAAAGTACATGGAGTGCAAGTTTGGTGGAGGTAGAATTAGTGGTAATAACGGAATTACTTTAGATGGTAAGGAGATACCGGTTAGCGATATGTTCTGTAACTTGGGCTCCATAATTCAGAAGGTTGGTGAGTTAGATGGAGATGTATCCATAGAATCCGAACAGGGTGGATGAAGTGGAAGATGCATCAGGATTTCTACGCGGTCGAGGTATGCCGATTAGACTGAAGGGTAAATTTTATAGGACAGCAATTAGGCTTGCATTACTGTATGGCACGGAGTGTTGGGCGGTGAAACAATGTCACATTCAAAAGATGAGTGTGGCAGAGATGTGCATGCTGCGTTGGATGTGTGAGCATACTAGAAAGGACCGCGTGATGAATGAGACAATCAGACAAAGGGTGGGAGTAGCACCTATTGAAGATAAGATGCAGGAGTCGCGCCTACGGTGGTTTGGTCATGTGCATAGAAGACCGAGTGATGCACCTGTCAGACGCGTTGAGATGTGTGGATAAGAGGCATGGAAGAGAGGGAGAGGAAGGCCCAAACAAACATGAGTTAGAGGAGTCAGAAGGGATATGCTTCTTCTTGGATTGGATGAGAGTATGACTTTGGAGAGAGCAAAATGGAGGGTGGGTATTCGTGTGGAGAAGTGATCTTGTATCATCTTTTCCCCTCTTTTTCTTTCTGCTTTTTTTTTTTTTTTTATATTTTTATCCTTATATATAAATATTACTTTATTCTTTGTATTTTATCTTTTATATGTATATTCATCTCTTTTATATTATCTTTGTTTTATGGGAAAATTAATAAACATACCCCAAACTTTGAAGGGATGTGAGTTAAACACCCCAAACTTGCATATGTAATTTAAATACCCTAAACTTTAAATAGAAAGTTATATTTGCACCATTGTCATGTATTATTTCTTTCAAAAATGTAAATTTATGGGGTTAGTTGCCTAATTTAAAGTAGAAAATTGAAAGTGTTGCAATTATATAGATTGGGGGTAACATTTTTTATTTTCTAATGGAGGTTTAGAATGATAATTTTGTCTTCATGAATTCTAAAATAATTTCAATCATGCAATTAACACCATAAATTTACATCTTTGAAAGAAATAGTACTTGACATGGTGCTAAAATAACTTTTTATATAAAGTTTGGGGTATTTAAATTACATATGCAAGTTTGGGGTATTTTATTTATTTTACCCTTGTTTTATAATAGCTTATCTTTTTTATCTTTATTTTCTTTCTTTTCCTTTTGGTGATATCATGTATCGATTCATGTTAGCCGACCCCAATATAACTTATGAACTTTCATATTTTATTCATAACTTTCATATTTTATTCATAACTTATAATATAACTGAACCCCAGTAAAAAAACATATAATTGAACCCCTGTAATGATTTTTCTAGATTACGGATTACGGAGTCTTAATTTATGGTAAAACAATTATACGATGAAATTAATTAAATGTATTTTAGTTGAATTAAACTTTTATCCAAATTAGAGTCCTATTCCTCTCTATTTTTACACCCCGTTCAAACCATTGAATCTAGGTTAAGATAATTAATGACCTTAAATATTTATTAACCGGAATTAATTAAATGTTTTAAAAGTAGTGATAATAGATATTATTGTCAACCAGTAAGAGAGTGATATGTCACTGGTTTATAACTCAGTTTTACTACATAAAACAATAGATTGTTGGAATACCTAGAGCGCGTTAGGTTTAGTAACACGAAAACCGGTTGCTTCGGCTGATTCTGATAAAATTTTTGAAGTTATGGCAGAAGTCGCTGCATTGGTTGATTTTGCTGATTTATTTTGAGAAATAATTATTTTTAAAATATATATTAGTAATAAAATAAAGTAAAAATTAAATGTTAAATAGCTAAAATTACCATCTACAGTAGGAATCTAATAAGGGTATGTTTGACACGACTAGCTGAAAAGATACTTTTGTGAGCTTTTTAGTAACTGTTAGCTTTTAGTGACTGAAAAGATCTTAAAAAGAAAAGGTGGTAGCTGTTTGGTAAAAAGCCGACTCTTTGATTTAGTCTTGTTTGATATACAAGCTGTTAGGACAAATTAATACTAAAAGTCACGGTCTTTTCTCAGATGCTACTCCCCGTAGCATCTCAAAAAAGATCTTTTATTTTTCGAGAAGCTCTTAAAATTTGTCATGCCAAACACACAACTAAAAGCTTTTAGAGACTTTTTAAACAATACAAAAGCTAGAAGACAGTGACTTATGTGTGCCAAACATGCACTAAGTGTGATGATTATTATTAGATTCTGATAATTATTTTGCCAATACAGCTAAAAAAGTAACTTCAATCTAACTTATTCTTATTATTACACAATTCAACGCGCGACAACAAAAGTTACGTGTTCGGTGA